ACATAAGAAAAAAATAAAAAAGCCTAATTGCCTTTGGCTGAGCTGTTTCCCAACTTCATTTCTCCGCCTTAGTTCAAGGCTTCTCGTTCAAAATGACATGTGACTGCTTGGTGACCCCTGGCCTGATCGCAGCCTGAGGGGTCAGGCCAGTCCAGCCTGAACTGTGCTCCCAGGATCTGTGACCACCCCCACTTCTAAAAACCCTGGGCAGGCCTGAGCGATGAAGGAGGGGCTGTGGTCAAAACAAAAACCTCCCCCAGAAGAGTTTAGGGGTGGGAGAGTCCTCAGTCCCAGGCAACAGGCCCAGAAGGATTTATATGTAAGTGGACCTTAAAAGTTTTGAAAATGTTTCTTTTGGGTAAGGGAGGTTGCCTTTAAAACGCAATGGCCTTGTAAACCCTGGCAGGGGACGTTCTTGAGGCTCTAAGGAGGGGAGATGGCCCTGCAGACTGGGGGCGGGTCAGCTTCCAGTTGTGCTGTTTGCAGATGGTGGCCTGGTTGGGGACTCTGGTGGCCTGTGGGGGACTCTGGGCACTGGGAGAGGAAGGGAGGGTCAGCACAGTCCAAAGTAGAGGGGAGACCCAGAGCGGGGGAAGAGCAGAGGCTGCCAGGAGGCAGATCCCAAATTTCTAGGGTGGAGGTGTGACGGAGGAAGGAGGAGAGGCTACACAGGAGGCTTTGGGGAGAGCAGGGCAGTATCTGGGCTGGAGCGGGGGTGTAGTGTTGGTGGGGAGAGTCTGTGGGGGATGGGAGGGTGGAGAGAGAAGAGATGGCTCTAGCCTGGTGGCTGGGAAAGGTCACTCCCAAGAAGATGAAGTCTGAGAGTAGCCTCCAAAATCTCCAGCTCACCCCTTACACAGATGGGAAACTGAGGCCCAGATGAGCCCTTGACTTACCTGCCTGAAGGCTTAACGAAGCTGATGGCAGAAGCTCGTTCGAATGCAGAGTAATGTGGTTTTTTTTTTCCATACCATCTCCCTGTGGGACCAAGGTGAGTGTTTGAGCACCCAAATGGAATGGGACTCTTCAGGCACCAGAAAGGGGAAACTCAGTAGAAAGGGCTATTGTTTGGGAGGAAGGAAGGGGGTCCTGATGGAAGATGCTGGGTAGAAGATGACAAAGGAGGATGTGCCACTTTGCAGGCAAAGGAGGAGGGGTGATTTTATCAACATCTTAAGCAGCTGGAGGCTGGGGACCTAATCCCTGATGGGAGAAGAGGGGACAGCGGACAGCGGAGAGAGGGGAGGAGAACACTACCCCGGTGTACCTGGAGGAGGCAGGGGACTGGACCTGATGGCCTCCGGTTTAAAAAGCTCCAGACGACCTCCTTACTGTCATCATTGCCAGGGATTTGAGTCCAGATTGCCTGGGTTCAAATCTCACCTCAGCACCTACGGTTGGAACCTGGGAAATTGACAATCACCTAATCCGCAGTTTCATATCCACCAATGAAGACAAAAAATAGCGCTCATGCAATGTTGTTGTCAAGATTAAGGGAGATACTTGGGGCAAAGCTTCTAACCCACACATACTGAGGCCTGATGGGTGCCAGGCACTGTTTAGGTGCTGGGATTCGGTGCTGAGACAGATGAGTCGTTTTTCTCAAGGAGCTCCTGTCCCGGGCGCGTGGGGCTTGGCACAGACCCTAGGTGCTCAGTGAAAGATGGACAGGAACGCTGTCTTCCACATGACAAACATTTGAACTCTGTAGGCCGCAGAGTGCGCTCACGCCCAGCGTGTCTTTAGGCTTCTCATAACCTCAGTTTTTTAACATTTTATTTTACCTATTTATTTTTATTTATTGATTTGAGAGAGAGAGAAAAAACCACTGAATTGCTGTTCCACTTATATATGCATTCACTGGTTGGTCCTGACTGGGGATCAAACCCTCAACCTCGGAGTGTCAGGATGTTGTTCTAACCAACTGAGCCACCCCGCCAGGTCCCATAACCTTAATTTTATGGGGTAGGTATTGCAGTTGGGAAAACTGAGGCTCAATGTCCAGAGAAGTGATAGACCTCTCTCTCTCTGGGTTGGGAGCCCTTAGCCCCCACCCGCCTCCGCCCTGCCCTGGTTCCAAGCCTGGAGCAGACTGGATGGCGTGAGAATGAAGGACAGGAAGTGGAGGACGAAGCAGCAGAGGGGCACCGCCAGCCCTCGGTGGGAGATGAATGTGGGGGAGGTGGTCAGGTGCGGGAGGGTGCAGAGGGTGCTTCAGCCTTCCGCCAGGTCGCTCGGCAGCCGGAGAGGAGGCAGCGTTCATGGCGCATGGGGATCTGCGTCTTGAGCGGCTGGCGGTGCAGGCCACTGCCACCCTGCCTTCCATCCATCACTCCCGCAGCAGCTGGGCTTTGCTCTGGGTCCAGCCGCTCGGGACAAAGGGGCCAGGGAAGTATATGGGAAGAGAGTGAGAGAGAGGGAAGGTTTTTCTGTAAAGAGGGAGGAGATGGGTGTAGGGGTGGGTGGGTGGAGAAGGTGTGAGGAGGAGAGAGGTGAGGAGGGAAACAGAAACCAGCCGCGGGGGAAGTGAGAGGAGGCGGGCGCGCAGCATGTGTGTTGGGGGGGTGCAGAGAGGAGGATGGAGGAAGGGGTGGGGAGGGATGGGAAGCTGGGAGAAGCGATGCTGGAGGGGGTACTCAGAAGGAGGGCTTAGGGCCAAGGGCTGCAAGGCCTGGAAGCCTCTGGAGAGAAAACTCCTGGGCGTCCACGTATGGGTGCAAGGAGCCCTCCCCTCCTGATTCCTGGCTTGGTGACAGTCCTTCCTCCCCTCTGCCCTCCAGCCTCCCATCCTTGCTGGGCTGGCTGCTCTGCCCATCAGCGAAAGCCCAAGTCAAGTTCCGCGTCAAGTCTCTCTGGAGGAAAGATGAGCTGTGGCAGATGCTGCAGAGACTGTTAGCTTCCGTAGACCCTGTCCATGGCCTGGTGAGGGGGCCCCAGGCCGGTGGCTGAAAGTGCAGTTTGGTAGTGGGAGGGGAGGCAGGGGCTGCTCAGCGCTGTTGGGAGGGTTCCTTTAAATGCCTTCCAGGGCAGCACCTGCCACTGGGGCCCACAGCTCAGCCCAAACCGAAGCAGCAGCTCTCCCCTTCCTAAGGCTCTTCAGGAAAGTGGATGCCCCTCGCAGCCCCCTCTGGTACCACTTGGACTTGGACTGCCAGCATCAGAAGCCAGGCAGAACCTCAGGCCCGGGGTGGGATGATGGGGCCACTGTCCCGTTCTCAAGGGCTGAAGTGGTAGCTTGGGGGTCACCTGGGTTCAAGGACTCTTCTGAACTCCTCTTGAGCTGCGCACAGCCCATTCCCCTCTCCTCACCCCTCAGGGAACCCGAGTGAGACCTTAGAACCAGTCAGGGATGCCACACAGGCTCACCGTTGGCCCTGGGACACAGGGGAAATCCCAGCTCTCTGTCTTTCTGGCAGAGTGGCAGGAAAGGGATCGTGTTGGACACGTGAGGGACACAGCATGGTCAAAGTGATGGTCTGTGAAGTGGAAACCAGTGGAGACTGTGCTGCTGTGACCAGGGGCACGGAGGGAGCGTGGCAGGGGTGGTCTTCTCTAAGACACAGCCAGCTCCTGCCAGCTCAGGTCTCCTTCTCTGTTCAGGCCTCCATCTCTGAGGGGACAGTCCCAATTGCCTCAGAACCAACTGTTGTGCAAAAACAGACACTTTATTTTCTGTGACGGGAGCTACCCAGACACCCACGAGTATATATATGGAGGGCTCTTTGCCAGCTCCTCCCTCCCCCGTGCCCCTGGCCCTGGGGCTATGACCTTGAGAACTTGGGTACTGTGACCTTGAGAACCTTGTCTAGCATTCTGCAGTCTCTAGGGGTGGGGCAGTGCCAGACCACAGGCTGGACGGGCTGGTCTCAGCCGGTTCACCAGCTCGGGGCCGCTTCACTCTGGTTTGGTTTCTGGGTTGGAATCATACTCTGTCAGGCCCAACTTTGGCCAACGATAATGATGCTCGGGCAGGGCCCACAGCTGGGAGACAGCAGGTTCTTATCCTCATAAAGCAAAAGTGGCTGGCTTCTTCTCTGAGCCTCCCTTTCCACCCTCATGGTGTGGTTTCCTTAGGACCCCAGGCCTGCTAGACAAACTATCCCAGTTTCTGGAAGGCTGGGTGGGGGTGGGGCGGGAAAGACTGCCCAGCTTCTCCAAGCTTCTTGGAGCGGAGGCCGGGTTGCATTCCTGACTCTCTGCTGCCCTCGTGTGGCTGTAGGGTTAGTTGCTGCCACGCCACTGTAGAGGGCTGGGGTGGGGCAAGGGAGGCGTTGAGGGACAGGGGGGACCCCGAAAGACTGGAGCTGAGGCAGAACTAGAGAGATCCAACCCTTGTGTCTGTTCTAGAGAGCAGGGATCTTGCTGTCCTCACCCCAGGTGTGGTTACACCAGCGACACTGGGACAGCTGTGACACCAGCAGGAGGACAACTTGCTTACCAAACAATTAAAAGAAAAGATGGGGCTTTGACACTTATTTGCAGTGGAGGGGATGAGACATCACGACCGTGAGAACAGCTGGGCGCGCTCTGACCTTGGGGGCAAGTTCGCCCCGACTGAGCCGCTCTGACAGCCTGGCCCCCTGGCTGGAAGAACCGGGGCGCGGGATCCAGCTTTGTCCTGGGCACGGCTGCCCAGGAAGCCTTCAGGGAAGTGGGGAAGGAGCAGATATGGAGGGACAGAGAGTCAGCCCACCTCGGCCTCGGTCCTCCCTCCTCCAATCCATCCGCTCCCAGACCCCTCGGTCTGACGGCCCAGCGCTGCTATTGGCCGTGAAACAGGGGCACCGGTCTCTAGCGTCCAGGCTGATGGAGCCAGATGTCCTCAGACGTGGAGGAGCTTCAGGATCTCAGGGAGCTTGTGCAGATGCCAGCCAAAGTCTCGGAAGAACAGCAGATCCTACTGGCCTCCTTTCTTGGAGGAGGAAACCGAGGCCCAGGGAGTCTGAATGAAGGTCACTGCCGAAGGTCATGGTGGGTACAAAGGTGTCAACTTAGTACCAGTCTCCTTCAGTTCAGTGCATTGGTCCGTCGGCTACAGCAGCTTGTTCAAAGGGTGGAGGGGATTCTGAGCAAGTCCCTTCGGATTTCGGGGACACGTGCGGGGGGCTCCCCTCTACGCCCTTTCCGAGTCCTGCAGCAGAGCCCTCACCAGGCCGATGACCTGTGAGGTGGGCTGGACCGTGTCATGCTCTGCGAAGAGGTGGCACACGTTCTCCTGTGATTCGGTCTGGCTCTTGGCCACGAACCCAAAGATCCTGGTGGGAGAGGGCAGCGTGAATGAGGAGGGGGGATCCCAGGCTGCGGGGGGAACACAGCCCCCCAAACCTCTCCCTGCCCCTTCCCTGGCCAAGCGCCCTGCCACCTCAGTATGATGACAAGAGCTCTCTGCAAAGGGGGTGTGTGTGTCTCCCCTGTCAGAATGGGAGGTTCCTGAGTTCAAGACCTGGGTTTTCCTCATTTTGAAATAGGGGTCCCTGGGGATGGGACCTACGTATTTCCCATGAGAGTGGGGAGGGCAAAGATGTGTCTTGGCCATCAGCCTGGAGACTCCCTACAGACCAAGGCTCCCTGAGGTTAGAGCCCCTCCTCCTTCCTCAGACTGGAGAGTCCCTGTGGGCCCGGGCCTGTGCCACCCCCATCAAAACCATGGGCTCTTCAGGTCAGGACCGGGGCGGGGGGGGGGGGCCCATCTTTTCTGGATTCCTTCTGCATGCTGGGTGGGAGGCCCTGTCTCAGGGAGACCTCTTCTGGTGACTGGCTGAGCAAAGAGAAAGGCCTTACCGGGAGGGCTTGCAGTACTTCTGCCACCTGTGGGGAGGAGCAGGGGCAGCAGTGAGTACTGGGGCTCTGCTCCGTGCCTCGGCCTGGCCCCCAGCCGCGCCCCCCGCCCCACCCCGCCCCGTCGGCCGGCGAGCAAGGTAGAGAATGGCCTGCTTTGTCCCCACCGGCTCCGCATCCCGCATGCCCCTCCTTCTGTTGCCCTTGGCCACGGAGGGTCACAGGCTCTGTCTGGGATTCCAGTCCCAGAGCCAGAAGGACACTTGGGTGGGCAGCTGGGCTCTGGAGGGCCTCCTTCCTTTGGCCAGACTTGCACTTACTTTTGTTGCTCAGGGTCCATGCCACAGAAGCGGAGGGTGGCGAGCGGGTAATGGCGCCGGAAAAACAGCCTGGGAGGAGGCAGGGGAGCAGGGGAGCCGGTGAGAGCCGGTCCCAGGGTCATGTCTGCCGCCACCTCTCCAGCTTCCCGCCCTCCCAGCCTCCCGGCCGGCCCCTTGCAGCCCGCTGCGATCTTGCCCACCGCGGAGGGGCCTCCCAGGGCGCAGGTTGCACTTCTGTCCTTTCATGGAGCGCTCCTGCCATGCGCCTGTCCTACATGTTGGGGTTTTCTAGCCCCTTTCTCCTCCCCGCCCGCCGTGTCATTTAACTATTTGAGGACAGGAATTACGTCTTGGTCGTCTCTTGTTTTTCCAGCCCAGGACCAGGCTCTTGCTAGACTGCAAATCCCTGAGCCCAGGGGAGGAGCAGCCTCGTCCCCCTGAGTCCCAGTGGTCAGCCAGAGCCTGGCTGGCAGATGTTCTCGCGGTGGGTGCAGACTTAATCGATGCCCAACGAGTGCTGGTTGATTCCATCTCCATCCGTCACAGGAAAAGGGGGTTTTGGCAGGTCATCGGCGTCAGACTCAGTGAAGGCACAGAACTCGCCCGGAGTCACTCAGCATCTCTCTGACCCCATTGGGTCCAGGACACTGAACTCTGCCTTCACCATGGGTCCAGAGCCACCGTGGCCGTGCCCCCCAGCTCACCCTGCCCAGCCCTGCAGCCCCAGGGTGAGGGAAGTCCCTTACTTCCTCTGGAGGTCCGTCAAGGTGATGCCCTGCTCGGTGACTTTGAAGTGGACCATGGTGGGTGTGGGGAGGACGTCCCTCTCCAGGGTCGCCGAGATTGCCTTCCGTATGGCCAGGGCTCCGGTCAGAGTCTCCACGCTCACAGAGCTCAGGTACAGGGCATGGCAGCCTGTGGGAGGCAGACACTGCGCTGGAGCCCTGCCAGGACCCGCGGGACGGGCGGCGGTCAGCCAGGCCCTGGTCCCCGCTCTGCCCAGAGCCAGGCGCCAGAGTGGCCTTTCTGCTTCAGAAATCCAGTAGGGCTCCTCTTTGAGCCACCAGGCAGACAGACAGAGATGGCGGTGGGGACTCTAATTTGCGGGCGACCCCAGAGGACTTTGGGATCATCTGTTGCTGTGCATTGCCCTGGCCCCTGGCCCTCCCGTGAGGGACAAGGGAGGGAAGGTGGTCTTGTGTATAGGGACATTCAGGCAAAGCTTCCTTCTGTCCAGACCCACGGCAGGCGCTGCCTCCATCTCCACCCGCCCTTGGAGCCCTGCTTCATTGTTGAGAAGAGAGAGAAGACAAGGATGGGGAGGGGGCTGCTGGGCGGAGGGGCACAGAGTATGAGCTGTCACTCAGACAGGTGCTGATCTGTGACTGGCCTCTGGATGTGAGGAGGAGGGACCTTTCCCCTGTGGAAGCTCTCAGGACCCCACAGAGGACCACAGACACAGACCTCCAGAACAGGTACTGTAGGTCCAAACAGATCCCAGCACGTCTGCACGTGCCCATGTGTGTGCCGGACGGGGTGTAAGCCTCCCCGGGCCCCTCCTCCCCTGCCCCTCCTCCCCTTGGCCCTCTGCCTGCAGCCTCTCATCTCCCGGTTTACGGGGAAGGGGAGGAATGTGGCACCTTGTTAAAGATGAAGAAATAAAGCTGTGATGAGAAACACGTGTGGACATGCGTGTACGTGTGTGCGTGCAGGGCTGGGAGGTGCCCTCCAGGGACACAGCCAACCTGGAGCCCCCCACGTACCACTTACCCGCAGATTTCTTCAGGCAGGACGCCCGGCTGTCTGCAGAGGGGTCTGAGGCTCCGTCTCCACCTCCCAGTTCTGGGCCAAAGTAAAGGAACAGGCCCCGAGGGGCCGGGGTGGAGTGAATGGACGCCTCTCAGAGGAACAGGCTTCATTAATCCCTTTGAACATCTCCACCTCCGCCCACACCTCCAGGAAGTGACTGGGCTGAGAAACCAGGTGTGATTACTATAATCAGGCAAACGGGGCCACTTCGGGCTCCCCAACGCCCAGCTTGCAAGCCTTTTGATCCATCCTTCCTTTCCTTACTCCTCCGGGCCCGTGGACAGCTGCAGTGACCTGGTCCTTGGAAGCCCCTGACCCCTCACTTCTTTCCAGTTCACGCCCACCCAGGCCTTTCTTTGCCGCCAAGTAGGGAGACTGTTGCCCTCCCTTCCCCAGGCGCACCCCTGTCCTTTCTTCCTCTCCCAGAAGCCCCCTCGCTGCTCCTCCTGTGGGCTGACCTGCTCCGTCAGGGCGGGGGGTGCTCGGGGGTGCGGCTGGGCTGTAAACCCTGGAGGGGGCTTCCTGATCAGGGCTTGCGGCCTGGCTCTGAGTGCCTTTGGGTGAGTTACTTAATGCTCCAAACCCTGCTTCTCTGTGAAATGGGGGTAACAGCAACATCTGCTTCACAGGGTGTGAGGTGACGTAGGAATGAGCAAGGGAGTCCCCAGTTAATGTTAGACCTGGGAGGGAAAAAAACCAAGCCTCCCCAAGCTCGCTGATTTATGTACCTTTCATTTTCTCAAAGAAAGCTACTGTTTATTAAACATCTGCCCTATGCCAGGCGTCCTGCTAACGGCCCTGCCTGAGTCATTTAATTCCTGCACCAGTCCGATGAGTGGGTACGATGACAGCTGTCCCCATTGCATAGATGAGGAGACTGAGGCTCGGAGAGATAAACACCCTCAAATTCTCATAGCTTGGAAGTGGAGATATTGATGGGCCCTAGAGTATGTACTTTTAACTGTGGCACTAAAATAATCCATAAATCGGGCGAGACGTGACCACAAGGAGCCCTTCCAGTGAGAACACACAGACCCGGGGCCCCGCCGCTGCCGCCTCGGGGCCTGGACCCACCTTTCTGCGGGATGGTAAGTTTGCAGGGCAGGGCCAGCGCCATGATGGAATGCTGGCACACAAAGGCAGAGAGGCTCCCTGCAAGGAAACAGGCGGTCCTGCGTGAGAAGGCCTCCCCGGACCTCCCTCCCGGCCCAGGGCGGCCGGGCCCACCCAGGGGCCTGCCGGCTCACCAAAGTAGGGCTCCTCGTCTGCTCCTTTAAGATGCACCCCTTTGGCGGTAGACTCAATGAGGAAGTGGCGGATAAAGTCACTGCTGTCATCGCCTGGACAAAGACAGAAGCAAGCGCGTGTGTGGATAAGAGGTCCAGATCCCGTTGTCGGCCACACCTGACCCGCCTCCTCCGGGTCCATCCAGAGGTGTGCTTGTTCCTTCCTCTTCCCGCGTCTAGGACTCCAGGTAGGAATCCCGTCTCTCAGGCCTCCCGCAAAGGAGGTGCCCACACTTCTGCTGAGAGGCTTCTGCATCCAGTGACGCTCCCTTCAGGAGACCTTTGTCTTGGTCCCAAGAACTCTCAGGGGCCTTGGCTGGTGTGGCTCAGTGGATTGAGTGCTGGCCTGTGACCCAAAAGGTCACCAGTTCAATTTCCAGTCAGGGCACAGGCCTGGGTTGTGGGCCAGGTTCCTGGTTGTGGGTGTGTGAGAGGCAACCGATTTATGTATCTCTCACACATCGATGTTTCTCTCCCTTTTTTTTCCTCCCTACCTTCTCCTCTCTCTAAAAATAAATAAAATCTTTAAAAAAAAGAACTCTCAGGGATGGTTTAGATCAAATCTCAACTCTTCCGCCTGGTTTCTCTCTCCCCCTCCCCACCCTCTCCCAGGCGCCTAGGATTCTCCACCAGGCGGTCCCTGCGGGAGCCGAGCTGGCCGGGAGGGTGAACAATGCCCTCTGCTCCTGCCCCACCAACCCACAGCTCCCTTCTCCTCTGGGCTCATTGGCAAGGCTTCCTTGATAACCGACAGCACCCCAGGCATCACTTTCTTATTTAGCCCCAGAGGCGCAGGGCAGAGAAATCCGGCTGGCTTTTCATCCTTGGGTTTCCGCGCTATCACTTGCTTGCTCCATGGGGTTGTCTGCTAACTCTCGGAGCCTCTGTTACCTCATCTGTGTGTTGTATGAAAGCTGTAATCTTGGGGTTTAGGGCGGGACTGCGACCAGGTACCTCATACTGTAGTGACCTGTTTTTAATCTCTTTCCTCAGTGAGGCACCCTGGAGCCTTTCGCAGTGCCTGGGTCAGGGCGCACGTCCCACCCATGTGTGTGGCGTGTGCGAGACCACGGGCACGCACGTGATAAGCTGTCACACATGGGTTTTTACGTTGGGCCCCCTAGTGATAAGTCTGGAGGGAGGTGGGCCCCCAGAAGAGAGCAGCCTGGAGAGGGGCTGGGACCTTCCTCCTCCTCTTCCCTCTTCCCACCATGACATTAAAGCAGGGAATCTGGGGACATGGTGGGGGGCGGGGAGGGGGTGGACAGCTCAGGCTTGCCGTGAAAGGAGCTTCTCACAGAGTCCCAGGGCTGAAGGCTGCTGGGGGAGGCTGAGGCGGGCCCTCCTCCCCAGGGTCATTGTGGGCCCGGCCCAAGGTCACCCTGCAAGCAGCAGCAGAGCTGGGACTAGACCCACATACCCCGTGGCCTCCGAGAAGGTACAGAGACAGGCGCGTACCTGATCGGTTCTGGGCAGATGTGGGGGCCTCCTGCACCTTCAGAGCGAGGCCGAATGAGCCTCGGTATGAAGAACTGTCCCTCACGACGAATGTCCCCGGCTCCTCCTTCCTCAGCAGCTCGATTGCTGGAACAATCCTTGGGTCAGAGACAGTTACCACCCCCTCCCCCCGGACAACCTTCATGCACCAGCCCCATAGGGTCTTCATGGGGCAGATGTTGCAGAACCACCTCTGGTTCCCAGGAAGCCCTTGCTCTTGCTTGCGTAATCCTCACCACTGCCGCTACCGCCCCTCATTCCTCGGGTCGTGAGGTCGCAGGACACCCCCTTCCCTGGGTCTGCCCTTTGCCGTTCCCCTCTCTGCCATGATCCAGGGCCCTGACTGCAGGACCCAGGCCTGATTCCTGCGTCACTTGTCCCCTGAAACACTGTGTTTTCTTTTACCTTGCTCTCGGGTGATGCTTGGCTTAAACCAGTATTTAGAGGTGTCCATCACAAACTTCATGGTGGGCTGCATGTCCCTGGTAGGACCTGGAGACAGACAGAAAAGGGGAGCCCTGTAGGCTGGACAGAGGGGAGCTGAGAGACCCTCTCCCATGCCCTGCCCAGTGGTCCCACTCAACCCACCCTCTCCTGCCCCAACCACGTTGTATCTCCAACTGCCTGAAGAGGCAGAATGCATCAGAAGAATTTCAGGGTTTGGCGCATCTAGGATTTAGGAGTCTTCCCTTGTATCCTTGGTAATGAATAAAAAAGCTGGAATAGATAAAAATCTCAGTGGATCGAATGCCATCCTGTGAACCAAAGGGTCGCCGGTTCTATTCCCAGTCAGGGCACATGCCTGGGTTGCGGGCCAGGTCCCCAGTTGGGGGCGTGTGAGAGGCAACCACACACTGATGTTTCTCTCCCTCTCTTTCTCCCTCCCTTCTCCTCTCTCTAAAAATAAATAATTAAAATCTTAAAAAAAAATCTCAACTTAATGAGAAAGAGTTCCTCAAAGCTAGTGTCGCCCGCGGGGGACTGAACAAGGGGTAAATAAGGGATTCTGAGATGCATCATTTGTTTGATTTCACACTCTCCTCCTTAATAATCCTTCATGTTCTTTAGGGATTTATTCAGTTTGGAAAAGAAAATGAAGGAAAAGGTGAAGGGAGGGGAACGGAAGATCTGGGCGGCAACGCGTGTGCTCAGGGGTCAGGAAATGGGATTCCTGACTGGTGTGGGACAAGCTTTCGGCTCCTAAAGCTCAGAGAGGGTGGAGAGAACTCAAAAACCCCGGAGGGTCTTTATGCGCCAATAGCCTGTGAAGTTACAATGAATTTTGTTGTGTGACTGTTTTGCAGAATCTAATAAGATTCCAGGGTATAATTAGTAATAATCCCGGGCATCACCAAACCAGAGTAGGGCTACCGCCACACTAAGTAAATGTGCTCTTTGAGATGCCAAAATGCCGATTTTCTGGGTCCCTAAGGCAGAGAGCAATGGTTCTTCATTTAGGCATCTTGAAAAGGTGTGTTTGGTGGCCAGCTGAGAGTAACTCACAAAAACTGTACTGAAATCTGCTGATGATTTGTCGTAGGAAAACAGAGCAGATTCAAAGGCATACACATTGTGTCGTTTCTCGAGCTTGCGTCGACATGGCTTCGCGAGTGGGATCAAGCAGCCGGCGGGAGTCAGTATTTCATCCCCCCCACCCTGCACCCCCGCGGCCAGGAGTCACCTTGACACCCGTTTTGTGGCCCAGGGAGGGCTGAGGAGCAAGCCCCGGGAAGCAGATGGCTGAGCAAGGAGGGCCAGCGTCCCTGTGGCTTTGCAGGGGCCCTGCTCATGGCCTCTTGTTTACTGCTTTGGGCTCTGGTTGGTTTTGCTCTTTTGGATGCCTGCAGTGGCGGGCTCCGCGGAAGAGGGTGTTCGCCGTTGTGTGGTTTTAGCTGTCTGAACTGGAACGCATTGTCTCCCTTGCCAGTTCCCCTTTTGTCTGCTCGTCCACCCACCCACCCACGTCAGAGTGAGGGCTGACTGGCTCACCCTCTCTCTCCCCCGGGTTTAGTCATCAAGCCTGCTGCTTCCACTGCCCGAGGGTCTCTGGGCCCTCTCCCGTCTCCTCGCCCCCCCTGCCCCCGCCCATTCAGGCTCCATCTCGACTTGTCTGGACCACTTCATGATAAAAGCCCAGGCAGAACCACATAGAAACCACCCTCCCTGCCCAGGCCAGGCCCTGTATGGAATTGATCTGGCAGGGCGATCTACTGACGTGTCTCCGACCCCCTCCCTCCCGTTTGAGACACTCTGATGCTCTCCCATTGCCTAAAGGGTAAAACCTGCTCTCTAGCTAGGTGTTCAAGGCCTTTTACAGTCTGGGCCTACGCTATCGTTGACCTCACCCGGCGCCCAACATTCCAGTCATTCCCTAAACATGCCATGTGCTCCACACCTTCCTGACTGTGGACTCTGTTCCCAGGGCTGGAGATGCCCGTCCTCTCCTGCTCTGGCCCAAACCTCTGACCCGTGTTCCGGACCCAGCGAAAGTGTCACTTCCTCTGAGGAGTCCTCCCAGTTCTCCAGACTGAAAGGCTCACTTTTCCCTCTATGACCCCATGAGGCTTTGAATATTTCTTTACCCCCATGTTTATCAACTCTATAGTTATCCTTGGTTTTGGTCTCTCTTTCTAGAATGTTTTCGTCTCTCCTCACTCCCTGGCATGGTGCTTGGCACACAGTAGGTACTCAATCAGTGTGTTGACTGACTATTGCAGAAACCCACTGGTGCTTTGTCTGTTCCCCCCAGCCAAAGCTTACAATGCTGGGCGTGTTGGCTTACCCGTACCTTCTGGGGATGTGGTGGGAGATGCATCCGGTGGGGTCTGGCTGTGGCTCCTGCTGGCTGGACAAGGGTGGCTGGCAGAAGTAGCCCCAGATCGGACAGAGTCCTGGTGTCCTGGGGTCCCCTGGGGTGGGGGAGACCCTGGTTCTGGGCAGCCGTTGATCAGCACGATGGGTATGTCCACCATGGAGTTGGCGATGGATGGGGGGCAGCTGTTGGCATGTTCCTTGGCCAACGGTGGGGAACAGGTTGCTCTGGGCTGGCCCGTGCTTGGGGTAGAATTGCTGGGGACCTGGATGTCACTGGCTCTCGTACACAGAGACGCTGGGCCGAGGCTGTGGAGGCTGGAGGAAGAGCTGGCTGGGCTTTCCAAGGACCTAGAGCATGACCGCTGGCTGGAGAGGCTGGAGCGGAGGAGTGACTGGCTGCTGCACAGGGAGAGAGCAGCAGGGCGGCAGAGTGTCAGGGTGCGGAGGTGGGCACTCAGGGACCAGAGCCAGGCTCTCTCATTTAGTGACCGGGGTGTCTATGGCTTTGGCCAAATAAAATACTGCAGAATCCACTCCCTATAGCCTAGAGCAAAAGGCATGCCTACCTGATCCCCAAGGGGTGCTGAAGGATAGAGAAATGTCCCCCCCTCCACTGTAGAGTCTTGGATCAATTGAAGTAGTCAAAGGGGCTGACCCTCCACAGATCACAGGACTGAGACTGGACGGATTCCTTCAGCTTTCCCAGCGGGGCAGGTCTGAGTTGGCGCACCAGCCTCCCCATCACTCCCACGAGCCCTGCACAGGGGCCAGACCTGGGCTGGACCGCGTCCCGTCTAATGCAGAGGGTATTTGCCAGCTGGGGGAGGAGGCCAGCTCTGCCCCCAGCCAGGCTCTCCCTGAGCTCTCAGGCCCATGCCAGTGGGCATGGCTGTGGGACTCCAGTCTCCTTGCCAGGGAGTGCCTGGCACAGAGGCTTTGGAACTGGTGTAGGGGACAGAGGTCCTGTGGTTTGGTCTTCCTGGGCGGGGCGGGGCTGAGGGAGACGGTGTGTGCAGCTCCACTGGGAGGTCTGCGGAGAATGGGGCTGGGCGATTGTAGAGAACGCCAGGCAGCTTTGCCTCCCTCCTGCCGGGTTTTGCCAGCAACAGGGAGGATGGAGTCTCTTCTTTCTTAAAATGGTTCACCTCAGGCCCCTCAAGTCTATTTACATCCTGTATTTTTTGGGTTTTTTTTTAGTTTTTATTTTTTTAAACCCTCCCTTGAGATGGATTGCATGAGGGCTGGAAAGGATGCAGGTGGGCACATTAATACAGCAAGAGGTGGATATAAGTTAAGATCTTTGTATATTGAATCATATTCTACATGGAAGGCTTGAGATCCCAATGGCTGTGATGGCATAAAAGAGAACATCTACTCTCTTATTTTGGGTGCCTTCCCAGATTTTGCGCAGCGCAGGGGGCCTCTCTCCAATTTTAGGCTCTCTGTATGTGTGTGTGCTGTGCAGGAAATGTAAGAAGCGATCGTGGGAGTGACCTACCTTCCAAACACGTAGCTGACATCAGATGCTGGGCTGGCCGACAGCACGGAGACCCTGCTGCCTTGCTGTGGGCCGAGGCCCCCGAGTCCCTTCTCCAAGCCTGGAGAAGCCTTCAGCGGGGATCCCAAGCCTTGGGGGCCCGAGGCCTTGCTCCTCAGGCAGGGGATGGCGATGCTAGGGGAGGGCGGGGGGTGAGAGGACGGAGCCCCAGCTGGGGGTGGAGGACGCTGGTGCCCCCTGCCCTGGTTCCCAGAGAAGATGAGGCTTTCGCTGCTGCTCCGAGTCTCTCGGGGGACATCTCTGGAAAGGAGGAGGCCGCCACTGCGCGGGGAGCCGAAAGGCGGGCTGACAGATGGGCTGGAGCAGCGCTGGTGGCCATCGTGGCACGTCGATCTGGTGGACGTCACCTCGATGTACTTTATGTCTTTGGGGAGAGAAGCAGAGCACTGGTGAGGCCCGGGAGGCTGGATCCACAGAACAGAAACACTGGAAGCGTCAGGAAGACAACTTGGTCCCCCTTCTCTTATATAGACTAGACAACTGAGGCTCGGAAAAGAGAAGCTCATTGGAATCAGAATGAGCACCCAGCTCCACCCTCCGGGCCCGTGCCAAAGTCACACTCTTTGGGACATCTTCCCTTGGGTGGGGAGATGCCATGGAATGAGCACGGGCCTTGGAGTCGGCAGATCTGGGTCTCCAATCAGGCTCTGCCACTCACTGTCTGAGCTTGGCTAAATGGCTTCATCACCTAGAAGCTCAGTTTCCACACCTGTCAAATGGGATAACTGTATTAAGCCTCTTGATGTTACAGTGAGGATGAAATGAGATGAATGTAGGGGGCCCATTGCTGTGCCTGGCACATAGTAAGCCCTTTGTGTGTGCCCCACCCTCCAGGCTGAAATGACCGCTTAATAGAATACGCCAGTCTCATCTCCTGCTGTCTCCTGATGTTTCGCGCGCAGATTGGGCGTGCGAAAGCTGTTTCTTTGTCTGTACCTACAGTGAAGGCCTTGCTGCACCCAAGAATCACCCAATGGGCTTTGGAAAGTCCTAATGCCCGGGCCCCGCCTTGTGCCCATCAGACCAGCGTCTCTGGAGTGGGCTCTGGCCTCAGGTTGTTTCTTTTGTTCCCCAGGTGATTTCAATGTGTATTGACATCATCCCCATGGTCCCTGCCCAGCAACTTGCCACTCGTGGGAGCTGGTCTGATGTGCAGAATCTTAGGTTCTGCCCCAGGCCTATCGCATCAGAATCTGCAGTTTTAACAGGAGCCTGGGGGTCTGGGTCCACTGCAGGTGCGAGAGCTCCGCTTTAGCGCAGGAGTTCCCTGAGGGCAGGGCTTGTCCAGGGCCGTGCTGGTAGCTGGTGCACAGCAACCGGTTATCAAACTTGGCCCGGGCTGCTGACTCGAGCTCTTAAATTCCCCAGTGGCGGCACACGGACTTTTGTCCCCAGACTGTGTTCCTCCCTGGAATGGGGCGCCCTGTGGTTCTACCCATGGTGAGGATGGACATCTCTCTTCCTGGCCTGGGGGAGAAGAGCTGTCCCTTGGTGCTGTTCCAGTAAAGGTGGGGGTGAGTGGGGGTTACCGAGGGCTGCAAGCCCCGCCTCTGGCTTCCCGGGATGGAAACTGAGGCAGAGTCAGCAGGAAACTGCACCGTCAGCGCCTGCCTGCTGGCCTCTCACCTACTTGGGCTGTGGCATGCGCACCCCGCCCGCTGTGACTCCAGAGTCCCTGCCTGCCCCAGCCCGCCCCGGGGCAGGGCCTCTGGCTCTGCTCACCGCTGCTGCCTCTGCCTGAGCCTGCTTGGGCCGGGGTTGGGGTGCCGGATTGCATCAGAGGAGGGGGGCTGGCAGGCTGACCTGGGCTTTTCGCTCCAGGGGTGGAGGCAAAGAACTGGCTCTGTCGTCAGGCAGGCCTGGGTGTGAGCCCCGGCATAGCCATTTTCCCGCCAAGAGGCATCAGGAAGCTTTCCAAGCCCTCTGAACCTCAGTTTCCTCATCTGCGAAGTGGGGAGCTAAAACCAGCCTCCCATGATTGTGCTAAGATAAAGTACGCGGATGAATGGAGCCTGGAGTCTGGCCCGTGGTGGGCTTCTAGGAGCATCTTCTACCCGCCCGCTTTTGGGGGCCGTATGGGCCAGATGGTTAATGCTTGCTGGCTAAAGCGTGGGTCCCACTGTTGACGGCAAGAGGCTGTTTGGCACAGTGTACTGTGGGCTCTGAAAGAAATGAGGTCTTGGAATGGGGTGGATTCTTCTGGAAGTTTGGCAAGCACAACTTGTATTTTTATGGGACTTTATAGTGTTTATACCCATAATCCTTTCAAACTTCACAACAGTCCTTATGCCCAGTGCCAGCAGGCATGGCTTTTATAGAGGAGGAAACTGAGGCCCAGAGAAATAGGGGAGTGGAGCTGACATTTATTGCACAATTTTTAATAAAGGCTGGTATTTACTAAGCGCCATGTGCCAGCACTGTTACAGGCACGTTACCTGTATTAGTTTATTCAGCCTTCACGGTAACTCTATTGAAGCAGGAAATATTATGAATTCCGTGTCACAGATGAGAAATCAAGGCGCAGCAAGGTTAAGTGAGTTGTCTGGTGCCACACAGCCAGGGAGCAGGGGAACCTGACTTCTGCTCTTGTGCTCTGAATCGGGACCTCTTTCCAGAGGAGGGGTTCCTGGGGACGCTTTCCCGAGGCCTGGTCCTGTGAGAGGGCGCTTGGCGGCTCCGGGGAGGGTCTGTTGGTCTGGGGTGGGGGGGCTCTGGGCCACCTCCTTACTGGGTTACCCAAACTCACCAAAGGCCTTGCTTGGGGGTGGAGCAAGCCTGGGGACAGTGCGGGAGTCGGGGAGCTGTGAGTCACTTCCTGCTGTTGCTGGGAGGTGGTTGTGGCTGGGGGAGGGGGAGGCCCCCAGCCAGCACCTGGTGCAGTCACTGTTTACAGGCCCCTGGGGCAAGTCTGAGCAGCCGGCACCAGTGGGTGGGTGGGGTCACGTAGGTGGGGGGAGGAGAGACAGCATGTAGGCACCTTTCACTTGGGATTGGCAAACAGTCTTGCCTGGCAGAAACTGCTGGAAAATAAAATGTGAGGACCTCTTCCAAAGATGAGGAGGGGCAGGAGGGAGGATAAAGAAACGTGGTGTTTCCTTCCAGGAGCACAGCCCCTGTGGGGCGAGACCCCCCGCCCCCAAGCCTGAAGGAAGGTGAGCAGGAGGCGGGGGCAGAGAGGTTATCGCAATTTCTTCCACAACTCATGCGTCACCAAAGGCTTTCTGTATGAACAGGGTGGGGCGGCTGTGAGTCCGTGAAGCACAGAGTTTATTCTTGTATTATTATTTTTTATGGATTATTGTATTATTTCCCATACGAACAGTAAACCTACTTTTGCCCCTGCCCGCATTTAGGGGAGGGGTCCGCATAGGACCATCAATGTTTACTTTTTAATTCTGCCAAGTGCGGGAAGAGCAAGAGCAAACATCTGCTAGCACCGCGATTATAGAATGTCTCCCCTTCAACACCCCAAAAGTTGGGAGGATGAGACCTGCAAATGCAGGGAGGTTCTCTGCGTGGAATGCACGTGGCCGCCAGGCAACTCACCTGGTGCCCAGATTTAGTTGCACTGCCCACGGGCCAGGGAGCGTTTGCTTTGTTACCAGTACTGGTGGTCTGAGGGGAGGGATTTGGGAGGTGAAGATGCACAAGAAAAGTGCAGCTTAGGCCAGTGACATGTGGACACTCGCTCTTCTGAGTGATCACACAGAACTTTCTAACAGGAGCCGACCAGGCTGAGCTGGATCAGGAAGGAGTGAGTTCCCCAGACATCGCAGGTATCCAAGGGCAGACTAAAGGAGTCTGAAGGGGCTAGGACAGAGCTGGGCAGCTTCTTCAGGCCTCTCTGACCACGGCTGCCTTCTGAGTGCCCGAGTCAGGTGGGCACATCCCCACGATGGCAGGTTGTGGCCAGGGCACCTGAGAACACAGACTACTGCCCGTCAGCCCCTTGGAGGGAGGGCCTGGCCGTGAGTGTCCCCACCTCATACATGTGGGGGCTCCCCAGAGACTGGTCTCAACACTCCCCGCCCCCACCGCTGGCCTTGAGTGTGTGGAACCGCTGCCTTGGGGCAGGAACATTAAAGTCCTGGCCTTGCTCTTGTCACTGGTAATTAGGCCCCACCACCTTCCCTGCAGAGGCTTGCCCAAGACTGGCCTTAAAAAGCAGAATGACTCTGGAGAGCTGGAGGCAGTTCTTTTAACAGGCCTGGCAGGCAAAGCTCAGTGGGAGGAACAGAGGCAGGTCAGGCGCCCAGGCGCCAGGGGACCTGGGCCGGGACTCCCTTTCACCCCAGAGCCTGAACCTGCCCTGGGGCTGGTCCCAGGCACAACCCTAGCGATTAATAAAGCAGCCACCATTTATAATAACACAGCGTGTCAGGATTTGTGATAAACACCCAACGAGTGTTATTTCTTTTAATCCCTGCAATACCCTTTGAGGTAAGAACTCATTTATATTTTACAGATGAGGAATTTGAGACACAAAGAAGTGGAGTAAACAGCTTGGGGAAGGTTTGCCTGACCCCAGTGGTTAGGCTAGATCGGCTCCTTCCTCAAACCTTTCAACCTCAGTCTTTTCATCCATAAAATGAGGATAAAATAGTGACCTCATGGGGGTGAATTGTGAGGATTAAAGGTTCTACTAAAAAGTGCTCAGCACAGTGCCTTGGTAAACTAAGGGCTCAATCAATAAGTGGAAAGTCTCATGGATCCCATCTTTAATCCTAACCACACTCCTTGGCCCACGCTGATTGTTTAAATCCCTGGAAGCCTCAGTCTTCCAGCCTGTCAAATGGGGCTGCTGCTCCTTGACCTTCATTTTCAAAGTACACTGAAAACTTCTTGCTTGGGAAACTGCTGTCAGAGGTAGGGATTTCTAGATCCCCTAGGATTCGATGGTGTACTGGGGTGGCTCGTACCAGCTCAGGGCAGCTGCTTGTTAAATTTTCAGGATTTTGTCAGGCTGGTTGCTAAACTCAGCCATTATTAACAATTAAATTATATAAAATTGCAATAAACTGACATATTAAAAACAGAAGTAATAAATATTCAAAATTCATCACATCCCAACGATTTTACTACTTTTTGCAACTTATACATACGCTTGAGGTGATTTACATCTGTTGCACTGGTCTGGTGTATATCAACACTGTACAATAGCCTGCTGCTGTGTATCTCCTTCTAAGGCCACATGCAGTGACGTCATGTCGGTGGCTTGAAATGGGCCATGGGGGGAGGATTTATACCACGGAAACTGGCAAACGCCTCAGGTCAGGCTCTCTCCCCCGGCCCACCAGGAAGCCACTGTTCAACCTTTACCAGCAGCTACAGCTGGAAGACAGCAGGGCTGCCATCGCAAGCCAAAGGGGCCCTGTGTATCCGCAGCCCCTCTCCTCCCAGCGCGGGCCCGCCCGGGGGGACACTCCCCCGCACAGGGACGGGGGTTCAGCTAGGAATCCTACAGAGTTTTTAAGAGGGCCAGGTTAGGACCTAAGGAGAGACAACATAGAATAGCAAGGTTCTGGGACTGCACACGTATTGAGCTCTTATTTATAATGCATGGCATTGTACTATATATACATATATATATATTTGTATATAAATAATGCATGGCATTATACAAAAATATGTAAAAATAATGCATGGTATTATAAATATGTAATATATATTTATAAATATAAATAGATATTTATAATGTATGGTATTGTACAAAATATATATAAATATATATTTAAATACACTAATGTGTATAGATATAACATTATATACATATATATATATCTATCATTATATATATTAAAATCACATAAAACAGATACCCATCACTTTCCAAACTCAGGAGCCAAATAGAAGTGGATAGTGAGGGAAACGCGTATTTATCCCTTTTACACAGGGAAAACAGAGAAGTTAAGCAAATTGTTTAAGGCTGCTTGTCATCCCCCAGCAAGACGGTGCCCCCTGCTCCAGATTCTGTAGACAAGTCCTTCCCCAGGAGACCCGTCCCCTGCTCCCTGCTGTGACCCTGCCCCTTACCTTGGGTTTCGGGCTCCTCTTTCTTTCTCCTTGGGGAAGCGCTCTGGGTGGGCTCAGCCCAGGGGAGGAGCTGGAAGGTGGGGTCCAGTTCCAGAATCATCTGGTTGAGGCTCTCCAGGGAGAGGTCTATGTAGGAGTCCAGGTCGTCCAGGGCTGCCGCGGCCTGCTTGCCCGGGGACGGCAGGAGGCAGCTGGCTTTGGCTCCCGCCTGCGGGGCCTGCTGGAGCCTGTGGTGGGGCTCCTTGCAGGGCGTGGGGGCCATCAGAGTCTGGGCCCCCCAGCCTTGTGTGGTATAGTAAGGACACTGCGGCGGCAGGTTGGGGCTGGGGGCTGGGTGCAGAGCCCTCCTGGCTTCCTCACAGGGAGCCAAATGGACAGTGTGGCCTCCTGCCAGCAGGGAGCTGGACATCACCTGCGACATGGTGGGGGGCAGTGATCCGGGGCTTTATCCCCGGCCTCCGACCAGCCTCGCTTCTGTCCCAGAGACGTCACTTGCCAACCAGGAGCTCCCAGGACCTGAAAGAGGCCAGGGGTGGGAGCTGAGTACCTTTTGTAGATGAAGCTACTGCCTTCTCTCCCCCCAAACAAAGGCACATTTATTCATTCATTGAGAAGCACAGATGCTGGAGCCAGGCTCCCTGGGGTTGCCTCCTGGTTCTACCATTTACTAGCTGTATAACATTGGGCAGGTTAAATAACTTCTCTGTGCCTCAGTTTCCTTATCTGTCACATGAGTTAATATTTGTAACATGCTTAGAGTAGCCTGGCACATACTAAACATTATGCAAGTTATTGTTAAATAAAATAACTTCAATAGAAGTTTATTAAATATCTACTAGGTATCAACCTTATTTATTAAATTCTAGCTAATATTTATTGAGTAATGACTGTGTGCATAGGTACTGGTGTTTACACACAGAGTCTTAAAATCCTCATAACCACCCTATGAAGTAATATTATAATTATACCATATTACAACATGAGACTGGAGACCCAGAGAGGTAAATAACTTGCGCAGCGGCAAGTGGCCAACAAGTGTCAGAGCAGAATGGACCCCAGGAGGCCTGATGGCAGAGCCCCTGCATTCAGCTTCTATTCCACGTGGGCCAGGGTGTGAACCAGACCAGTGGCAGGTGAGCAATCATATAAACAGTTACACTAGGGAGGAGGGGAAGCAGAGGGGGCTCTGTAGGCACTGGTGGGGAGGTCAGGGAGGACTTCCTGGAGGAAGGAACATGTATAAAGGGAGACGAGAAGGAAAAGCAGGAGCTGGCTGGCCGGGCAGGTTGGGGTGAGGAGGTGGGTGTTCAGCGGCCTGACAGACAGGGGAGATCAGGAGGCGTCACTGAGCACCTTGGAACAGGGTGCATCTTGGGTAGATGGAGGGAAAGATGGGGCGGGGGAGGCAGGCTGGCCAGATCCTGCAGAGACTTGCAGGCTGGGCTCAGTGGGGTAAAGGGGAGCTACAGAACAGTTCTGAGCTGGGGAGTGACATCATCAAAGGGTGTTCATTCCCTGGGGGCTCATCCCAGAAAGAGATGCCTCAACTTCCTCATTTCCCTCACTGTGGAAAGTCCTTCCTGTTGTCTAATCATAAGGTCACATATTAATACTTTGCCGCAGGTGGGGCTGGGTAGGGGGTAAGAGGTTCTGGGACTCAGGCTGCCAAGAAAGCTGTAAGGAGCCAGGACATTATCACTGCCTGCCCTGAGCCTCATCGCTTGTCCCCGATACTCTCCACCTCTGCTTCTCCTTTTTTCCAAGACGCTTCCATCGCTCACTGCCTTAGAGTCAGACCCCCAGTGCTGGAAAAGGTGTTGAGACCAGTCTGGAGCAAATGAAATAAATGTGGACTCTGGAGCCTGAAGATTCAGATTTGATTCCCAGCTCCAACAGTTCCTTAAGGTGTGATCTGACCCTTAGCGTCCTCATCTGTGAGGTGGGCATAAGGATTCCTGGCCTGCACCCTCCCCCAGAGAGACATGGAACCAATGAGGTGCTGCTTGTGAGGGCAGTTGGCGAGCTCTAAATACTACTTAGACATAAGGGCTTGCCTAGAATATAACAGCTTCGTAAGAGTAAATAATAATAGCTCCCATTTATGAAGCATCCACCATGTGACAGATGCTGATCTCTGGGTGTTTCATCTGGTAACTCTCCTCCACAACCCTAGGAAGCAGTGTACCCCTAGTGCCAGCCCATTTTACAGATGGAGCTACTGAGGCTCAGTGAGGTTAAGAAATCTGCATGGGCTGCACAGCCAGATAAGCGATGTATCTGGGATTCAAACCCAGGCTGTGGTCCTTGGGACGCTTAATTCCTTGTACCACATGGAGTTCAAATGCAGAGGGACACCTGAGGTCCAGAGAAGGGGTGTGATTTGCCCAAGCCACACAGTAAGTTAATGAGAAAAGCCAGGCCCCTCTTCTCCTCCACGGCTCCTGCAGGCCTCTGCCAGACTTCTCCTTGGCCCGGTCCTAGAGGGGGTGGCGCGTCCCAGGCTCCTGAAGCGTGTCTATAAATGGCAGTGGAAGGGAATCAGTCTCTGAGCTCCTTTCTGGGGGCAGCTGAGGACACGGAGCTGCGGCTTTTTCCTCACATGCTCCCGGAGGCCTGGGTTTGCTGGGGCAGACCTCGGCGTACCCTCCAGCGTTCTCATCTGGGCCCCGCAGGGGAGGCTGGGCTTAGTGACTTTATGGAGTGTGCTGGGGTCTGGGTCTCCCCCCAGCATTAGGACCCAGGATGCCCGCCAACTGATTTAGAAACTGCTTTTGTGCCACCCTGGGCAATTGTCCTTAGCTGTCCCATCTATATAATGGGGACATTATAATAACAGATACTTAAGATTTACTAATTTCCTTTTCTCAGTGGTTCTGTGAGGAGGGCGCTCTTACTGTGGGGCTAGAGAGGTTAAGGGATTTGCCCAAGGTAATGCATTCGCCCCACAGAACCCAGTGGCGGGATTGGAACTTGAACCTGGGTGGTCGAGGCTCCCATGCCCCCTGCCCCTTCCTCAGGGGGTTAGGATCCCTTTCAGCTCGTCCCCGTCTGGGACCCTGGAACCCGTGGGATAGGCCTGGGAGGGCTCTTCTTCCAACTCTTCTCACTGTGACAGTCCCTGAATCACCCTGGACCTCCCTGGACTGGGGCAGGGCTCCTTCCTTTACTCTTGGACCTCCTGCCCCAAGCAGCGCACTTTACGAGCTCTTCCGGTCCTGCTCTGAGGGGGAGGGGAGGGCCCCTGGGGCTCAGGACTTCGTGTGTGGCGGGGGGAGGGGGTGGAAGAGGTGAGGGGGTGTATAGCGGCCAGAGAGGGTTCCAGCCAGCTCAGCCCTGTTTATGGGTCCCTCCTACCCATTCGCCCTTCATATTTGGGCTCCAGTCTCTTTCTTTGTTCCCAAGGGCTCTGGAGGCAGGAGCATCTTGCTACCTTGGCAAATCTGCTCTTCCGCTTTGTTGCCAACCTCTTTTCCCTCCTGCAGGCCCAGGTCGACGAAGGGAGAGGGTGGAAGAGAGCGAAGCCTGAGTCCTCCAAAAAGCCACTTGCCTCATTAGCTCAACCCTCACTCAACCCCCACCCTGGAAGAGTGGCTTCTGACTGTCCCATCTCTTCCACCCAGACCCAGGGACAATAGGGACCTGCGGGACCACTGAAGGCCCCCGTCCCCCACCTCTGGGTTCCTAGCAGCCTGAGGGCCCCAGCACCTGGGCAGAGGCCAGGCTGGGAGGCAGGAGGCCTGGTTCGGTGCCCGTTCCCTTCCCAAGTCTCCATGACCTTGGGCAAATCTCCTCCCTTCCCTGCACCTTGGTTCTCTCACCTATACACCCAGGGGTACAGATTTACTACCTCAAAGCGCTAAATTCCCTGGTCTGTGGTCCCGAGGCTACTTCTCTCTCGCTCACAGCCTCTTCCCCACCTCACTCCACCTTCACGCTGAGTCTGGACTCCCAGAAGCAGAGAGGCAGAGCACACAGGGTTGAGTGAGTCAGGGCTGGGAAGGGGCTGAGTCTCCCTCTCTTCTCCTTAAAGAAAAAAGGCACCTACCTGGGTGTCCAGGGCAGCTGCGTTCACTCCCAGCTTCTGAGATCACGACAGTTCAGAGACCAGGTGAGCAGTAAGGGGAGGCGCAGTTCGCCTCAGACCTGCCTTAAGAGCACCAGCAAGCCGGCCTCCCTCCTCCCCTCAGGGTCCTGCACGTGGCCAACAGCCCGCAGGCCCCGCCCTTTCCCTGGCTGGACAGCACAGGTGGGGCTGGCCCAGGCACAGGAAGGAGAAGCACTGGGTGGTGGCCTGGCCCGGCTAGGCTTGAGGAGGGCTGGGGCTGGGTGTGTGTGCGAGGAGCTCCCACACTCCCTCCTCCTGCTGACCCCGCCTTGCCCCCAAGTGTACCACACGCTCAGCGGAACCTTGCTTGGTTGGGCAGGGCTCGTTAAAACCAAGGTGTGCTGGCTCTGGGCATTCCTGTTACCACGTGCCAGCCGGGGGTGGGACCGTGGGTTGGCAGAGGTGGCAGAGAGTGAGGTTCTTGACCTGGGGAAAGCAAGATGCCAGTGGGCAGGAGACCCTTCCCACAGCCTCCTCCTGTGTCGTCCGGGCTGGGTCACCCTGTGGCAGCACAGGGTAAAGGCTCATTGCAACTGAGGCTCGCCACAGGTCTGGCCTGGTCTTTTTTTTCCTTCTTAGTCTGGGAATGGGGCTTTAAACTCAAAGCGGGGAAGCTCTGAGTGTCTGGAGGGCTTTGAGATGGGGCTGTAGCCTTGCTTCATTTCATTCATTCATTCATTCATTCATTCATTCGTTCATTCATTCACTGACGGCTCTCCCTTGGCGTGGTCTCGTCTGTGCCCCAGCGTGGGAGTCCACATGGGCGATGGCAGGAAGTCCGGAGGTCCAGGCATTTTCTCTCCCTAGCTCCATGTCCCTCCCTGTTCTGTGCCAGGGCCCCAGGGGGTTGTGAAAGGTGTCCAATGGGGCAGGTTGGTTTGCAGCGAGGGAGCTGCCATCCTCCAGCTCAGGGGCTCATGGCCATCCCAGCAGTGGCTAATCTCGAGGTGAGTGGGCTGCCCAGTACCCCCATTATGCTCAGTGGAAAGACTCCGGGCCTTAAAGTTTTTGACGCCTTGTGGCTTCGAGGAGGCATGATGAAGCAGTGTCTTGGGAGGCCAGTAAGCAACGCTGTGCAAAGTTGTAAAAAGGTGCCCCTTCCTGATGGTGGCATTGGATGGTTGCTCTGGGTGACCATGCAGCCCAGGAGGCACAGGGCTTGGTGAGCAGTTGTGTCTTTGAATGAAGAAATTGATGTCCCTTCCTTGGGGCGGTTGCAGGTGCCAGCTTGGGTGCGTGGCACATAGTGGGGGCTGGAGGGATAGCTGCTGAGTTTCTTGGGTGGAAGGGGCAGGTTCCAGGGAAGCAAAGTGTGG